GGAGCTGCGAGTCTGTTGAGGGATTACGGGACAGACCACCAGGGCCCGGCAGACGGGGAGAAGACACAACGGGCTCTAATTCTTTCGTGGGAATGTCTGCAGCAGTGCCAGTTAAGGCACTTGATTTATAGTAGTTTATCTTTTTCCTTCGGTGTTCACAGTCAACCCTCTCCCAGAGCCTGTTTCCACTCTCAGGAAGAAGAACGTGTGTGCTTCAGAACCAGCACTGATTAACCCAGGGTCACACGTAAGGTCAGGGTCACTGAAAGATGCGGGGACTCGAATCCAGGCTGCGAGGGGGGCTATCCTGCCAGAGGCATTCAATGCTCGGGAGGCTGAGCCACTGTCTGGTTCCAGCCTGGTTGGAAAGAGAGCCCTGAGCAGTGACCAGGGGACCCCAGCCAACGATTAATGCTCTGATTCTGCAAACGATCCAGAGAAGCCAGGCTGCTCTTTTCTCAGCTGCAGGTCCACATGCCATGTCCTGGCTGAACGTTCCGCTGGCAGAGGGTCCAGCTCCCAAAAAGGACAGGTGTCACATAGAGAAGTGGCAGCCAACACTTTAGGTGAGTGCTCACTCTTCTGGATCCCCAGAGAATCTTCTGGAGACTATCCCAATTGGCTGAAGTGGAGCCTATAGAGAGATGGTGGACGTCCTCATTTTGAGACTAACAAACCTATCTGGCCCCCAGGACTGAGTCCTGTTCTGAATTCACAGCCAGCCGACCATGTGAATGCGCATTAGCTCATTAAGTATGAGCACTTTCCAGACATTGAACCTGGGGCTGACTGAGCTGAAGGGCTCAGAATGCACATGAAGGCTCAGCCCACTGCGACTAACTTGCCACGTTTACTTTAGTGCTGTCGTCGTCGTCGTCGTCACCGTTGCTAATACTGGGCCCTCTGCGCCTTTGTGTCTGGCAACAAGGCGCCTCCCAAAGGGCTGCACAAAGTGTGCCTCTATGTCAATCATTCCCAGAAGGGAGGTCCCCAGTAGGGAACACCCGGTTGTTTGGCAGCCTCGGAAGCTAAGATCATTACAATGCTAATATCTAACGTCTAGGCCTTGATGTGTGCTGGGCCTTGGAATACACACTTGACACTGCATTTAGTCCTCTTCGCAAACCCATGTTTGTTATTCTAATTGCAGAGGTGAGGAAACTGAGGTCCTGAGAGGTGGACACACCTGGTAAGATGAGCCAGGATTTGAGGAGCTCGAGCAGTGTGGCTCCAGAATCCACTCCACTCGATTGCCTCTTAAGGCGGAAAGTGGAAGAGCAGCAAAAGCAACCCACTCTAGCACGCCTTCCCCCAAGCCTGGCTCTGTGCAGAGAAGGGGGCATGTGAGGGTCAGGCCCTGAGGCTATTTCTGTTCTGAGAGTCATTAGGAACATCACGAGGGCCCTTGTGACCCTGCCACTGGTTCACCCGAGTCATTCACTCCTGCAGTGAGTGCCCCCTGAGCATCTCTGGCAAGCCCCAGGATGGCCCAGGCGATGCAGGCATCTCTAAGGCACAGTGCCCTGTCCTCAGAGGGGATGGGAAGCCCAGGGAGGGCAGGGTCGTCTCCTTCCTGTGCACCCCTGCATCCCTGCTGAAGGAATGGATGAACGAATGCAAAAACTAAGGAAACTATTCCACACAAACCCAGGATGAAAAAAGCCCCTTTTTAAAAAAAGTACCTACAGGTAATGATGCATATCCCATAATCTAATCTATATGTTCTCTTTGCAAAAGAATGAGATGTTAGCAGTTTCAGAATTAGTGTTCTCTTACTCTCTTTTCCCCGACGAGAAACACAATCTGCTCTGCATTAGAATTATAGCAAGAACTACACCCTGGCAGGAACCATATGATTTTAATGCACAGATGAATTTCAATTAGACATTTATCTAACCATGCTTATGTGTTTTAAACCTAACCCTAAATTACAGACTTTTCAAATAACTCTGCTCTCCCCTCCGCTTCTCTCTCTTCAATTTTGGTTTGGTTTTATGAAAGGTCTGCTGGTAAAATGAAGCAATACCAGTAACTTATCTACAAATTACGGGAAGGAGAAAGTAGGTTAAAAAAGACCAAGAACTTAAAACAAGTATGATCAAACCACATCCGAGTTAGGCAGGAAACAATAGGAGACTGTTCTTGCTCAGAGGGAAGGAAGGTAAACCTTCCCAGGACTATTGTCAAACAAGCCATAAACGAGATGCTCCTCCACTCTTCCCGAATTTCAACTGTAGTCGTCAGAATGCAACAAACTTCGCTTTCGCATCGGGGAAAGGTAATAACCGGAAGTAGAAAGCTGACACTTTCACTTGGGCGAGCAATGCCTTCCATGCTCAAAAGAATCTCATTTTCAGTTCAGGCGTCCACCACGACGAGCGGCTGTGTCTATCACAATGGAGGCGGGAACTTCATCCCAAGAGGAGGCCATCAGGACAAAGAAAGGATCTCCTAAACGCTGCCTCTGATGAGAGCGTTCAACTAAAGTGGGGATGCTAAGCTGAGAGGTTGCCAGTAAGTCGCTGCAATTTGCTTTTGCTCAGATTGCAAACCCCACGTATCACTGTCAATATCCTGCTTGTGCTACTGGACTAGAGTTCTGCAAGATGTTACCACTGGGGGAAAAGCAGGGAAAGGGTACGGGGATCGCTCTGTGTTATTTCTTGCCACTGCATGCCAATCAATTTCAATGGAAAAAACCCAGTGCCCCGCCGATCTCTGGGTTCATCTCGTGGAACCTGAAGTCTAACCTCAGCAGGAGGGATGACATTCTGTGACGAAGCCTTAACACCATTTGGGGGTCTGGAATCATGCAACAAAAGAGAGCCACAGGGACCTAACACATTCCAACTTGTCATGAGTATCAACGCAGCAGGAGCCAGCAGCAGGTTGGGTGGGGCCTGGGCGGATGTGAGGGCAGCGACACCCCAGCTGCTGGGGGCAGCCTCTGAGAAGCCTCCTGCAGGAACACGCACACCATGGCACCAGATCTTCCCACTGCTCAAGACAAGCCTGAAATCCAGATTTTTATGCGAACCTTCCTAAATTTCACAGTTGGTAATTCATAAAATTTTCTTTTAAACACTTTGAAGAGCAAACCAAACAGCTCTGAGGGCCAGACTGCAACCTATAAGGCACTTGATGGGCACTTTAAATCTCTTTTCTCCCCATCCCCCCACCACAGCCCTCTGCAATAGGGCTTGCTCTCCCACTTTCCGAAATGGGGGCAATAACTTGCCCAGGGTGACCCGCTGGCTGCTGGGGTCCTCAGCAGCTCTGACCGGGCCGGCTGACTCAGCATTCCATTACTTGCCTTCACTCAGCAAAAGCTAGTTTAAGAAAGTTGCAAAAGAGCATCTCTGGCTCCATAAATGCCAAGTCAGCCCACATTTTCTGGACCATATGTTGTCATGACATGGACCATTAGGGGTGTCTCTCCTGTTTGACACTTGTCACTCCGTCACCTCTAGTTAAACCCTCTCACCACACACTACTCCTCCCCTCAGAGCACGTCCAGGACTTCAGACGGTACACTCAGTTGTCTATCTGATCAACAGCTCTCTCTCCTGGACTGGACTGGAAAGCTCCAATGCGACAGAGACTGTTTGGGGTTTTGTACACCCCTAGAGCTAGCACAATGCCTGATCCCAAGAAAGGGCCTAATAAATACTTGTTGAATGAATCAAAAAAGGATGGGCCACACAAACGCCGTGAAAAGGCCCTGAGCAATTCAGCTGAACTAATGCCACCACCACCAAGGACAGAAAGTTTCTGGAAACCTTTTCAAAGGCTCCAATGCTCCCTCAAACGGCCTGGCCAAGCCACCGCATGCCAGAAAAACCAGAAGGACAGGGCACTCTCGTAATCGTACTCCATGCAGTTCCGGCCTTTCATGCTTCGGGATCACACTCCGCCCACTCACTCAGATATAGCAGCAGAGGCCACTGCCAAGGGCAAGCCCAGCCCTTTCACCTGTGTGCCTACTGCCTGAGAACCTGGCTGCAGAGCCAGGGCCCTCATGAAACAGCCTTTGTGTCAAACACTGTGCTCACCTCGACATGAACTGCCAAGCCTGTGCTGCAGCAGATGCAATGGCATACAAGACACCTGCCACCAGCAGCCTACAGCAAGTAAGATCTCCGATAAGAGGGAGCCAGGAGCAAGGGCCTTCCAGGCTGTGGGTATGGTAAGGGCACAGGCATGGAGGTGGAAACCCAGGGCATACTGGGGAAAGAACGAGCTGTACCAGGACTAAGGCAGCCTGGAGCTCAGCACACGTGAGCAGGATGGAGAAGGGAAGGCTGGCAAGAGACAAAGGCCCAGCTTGGAAAGGTTCAGGAGAATGTTCAACACTGGTCTCAGGTGTTTTCCTCTAGCAGAGCACAAAACGCAACTTCAAGGCTCCTGCAAACCACAAACATGCTCTATTTAGATGACAGTACAGGGATAACTGGGGAGATTTTGCACCAAAATGCAGATTTCCAGGTTTTCTGGAAACATGAGAAAATCAGGCAATATTGCATCCATACTCCTACAGAGCAACTACAGGCAGAGGTGGGATGGCAGCTGCTCACAGAGGACACATACACCTTCCAATTTGCCACAGTCCCCACCACTCCCTACTGCTCTCCCCTGGGGCCTGCATCATTCATACAAGTTCCCTGTCCAGCCTCTGTAGATATCTGTGTCTTAGATGAGGTATTCTCTCATTCTGTCCCAATAATAGTGTCTCACAGATACGCAATCTGAGGCCCAGAGCAGTAGAAATCCATGTTTACTAACATACGATCAATCAAATCCACTTAGTACCCAACCTAGATTTTCCTCGGTATGCATTTCAAGACTCTGATTAGGTTCCCTGAATCCCAGACCAGCTTCTGCATCATTGTTGCTGTATAACCAGAATGTTGGTTTCTGGTTTTAGAGAAACACACACAATAACAAAACGAGCAACGGCCTCTTATCAATGTCTCAAAACAGCCCCCATGCGAATGACTTACACAACTTCTCTGAACGTCCTGTTCAGTCTTCGCGTACATCTCAGACAGATCCCCATTCAGGATGACCTCAGCTAACGAGTTCACCAGGGGCGCGTGATGTATAATTAGGAAGACCTGGTGAGAAAGAAGAGACGTGTGTAGTCTTTCAACCTCTTCCCCCCTCGATCTGAAACAGCTCGGCTGGGCTGCAAGGCCCTGGATGACGCAGCAATCCCTGTGACGAAGAACAGGTCACATTTAGGAGAAACCAGTCACACTCTTCTCCTTTGAGGGCTGGCCCTTTCTTCATTCCGACTATTGCCTAGTTGGCTGGCTGCTCCTCAGTGGAAGGAAGTGCAGTAAAGTGAGACCGTCCCTCATGGTGGGGCGAAGCCAAGTCCAGCCGAAGGGGAGCAACTCGGGAAAGGAGCAGCCACACCAGCACACTCCTCCCTGTCCACAGGCATTCTCGTGTCAGATTCGATTATGACGAGACCAGAGGGCACCCGCCCAATCCTTTAGTTACGCGGGAAGGGGCCCGAGAATCTTGTTCCAATCAAGGACTTGGCAAAGGGTCGGCTGCACAGATTCCATCCCTGGAATGACCTCTGACCCCGGTGGTGGGTGTCAGCACACTAGGATTCCATGGCAGCACAGGTAGGTGTGGAAACTGTGGGGAAGAAAAGCCACACGAGCCAGAGACCGACCTAGTCGTGCCAGGATGTAAACTCAGCAGGCGCTGGGCTGTCCGGGACGTCCCTGCCACCCCACCCTGTTGCCCAATGCTCAGTGGACCAGCTTTAGGGTTCAGGGTATTCAAAATGGCCTGGCCAAGCAGGTTGAGGCACACCTGCTACTTTGTTTTAAAATGCAAAGGCAACGTGGGTGTAGCATAGCATGGATCTGCCATCTGTATATAAAAAGGGAGCGTGTGCACATTTGTATTTGCTTATGCACATATGGAAAAGCTTCTACACTTTGGCACTATAGTCGGGCCATAATTCTGTGTTGTGGGGGCCGTCCTGTCGCTGCAGGATATTGGGCAGCATCTCTGGCCTCTACGCACCAGATGCCAGTAGCACTCCCTCCCCCAGTCATGACTACCAAAAATGTCTCCAGACATTGCCCAGCATCCCCTGGGGTGGGTGAAATTGTCCCCAGCTGAGAAGCCCCAGCAGAGAACTCTCTGGAGGGACACAGGAAAACCCTCTAACTACAGTTGTCTCTGGGGATAGAAATCAGGAGACTGAAAACAAAAGTAGAAAGGAAACTTGGTTTTCACCTGTTTGAACTTTTTAACTTAAGAAAATTTTTTATTAAAAAAATCAATGTTGTAAATTAAAAAAGTAAAGGCAGAAACTGAAACACTGCCTGCCTCTGGGCAGTGGGTCTGGGTGCCTGGGGGACAGGGGTAAGAGGAGACTTTTCCCTGTATGTCGTTTTGTACTGTTTGAATAGGGTGAATATATTGTCCAAAAAAATAAATACAATTCAGATTAAAGGTACAGGCAGAATAGCCAAATGTGGTACCTACCTAAAAAAAAAAGGCACATCTGTTTTTAAAACACTGCACAGTGACTATCAGAGAGACTACATAGTATGAGCAAACGAGTTAACCCACGTCCAGGGCTGTGGCAGGCATTCAAATGCTAGCGATGATGATGATGATGATGATGATGACAATGAGGATTTTTCTCACCTTCATCATGGCCAAATTACTGTCGCACTTCTCCAAAAACAAAACAAAACCCCAGTCACTGAGTTCATTCATTCCACAAATGTCTGTTGGGCACCTGGTTTGAATGTGACCCTAACTGATCATTTATCCATGCTTCACTGAGTTCGCAAACATTCACTGAGGACCTATTAAGGCCCACAAGACGAAGGCCACCGACTCCCGCCTGTGGACACAGTGCCCAGTCCTTTCTGAGCTCTGGATGGACAGAAGTGGGGGAGGGCCAGTCATCACACGGTACGTGGAAACGTGCGCAGACCGGACTCAAAGCTGGGACATCCTGTCTGCGCCACACTCTCGTTGTGAGTGGCCATTTAGTTTCGGCAGGACGGCATGCCCTCTCACACTAAATTAATGCTGTTAATGTGAATCTTCTTGGTTTTGTAGCTGTGCTTGTAAAATAATTTATAAGGATGCTTACGGACACGGGACTCAAGGTTTCCACACATTTAGGCAAAATTATGATGACGCTAAATGAACAGGTGGGGGAACGGAGGACTCCGTTACTCAAGCCGAGGAACCCCAGATTAGAAGCTATGCTTTTTGCGTGATACTGAAACAAGTAATTAGGGGCCAGAGCTGCTGCTCCTTCACTAAGAAAACAGGAGAAAAGGGGTTCTCAGAGAAAAGGTGTGGCCTGACCCCTCTCCATTAACATGCCAGCTGTGGGGGTGGGCAGCCGTGCTCCTCGAGGACACTGCCTGTGCATCACTCCAACAGCTGCAGGGTCCTGAGGCTGTGTGCCACGGGATTCCTGTGGCTGAGCATCTGGCCTGGTCAAGTCCTGCCAGACTCCCACAGTCCCGAGCAGGAGATGCTGTCGGATTTCTAACGAGGCGGCAGAGAAAGGTGCCAGGAGACGCTGAGGTTTGCAACGTGCTCCGTTGCACAGAGGGGCATTCAGAAGGCATAGGCAGCAGGGCAGCGCTCCTGAGCAAGCAGAGCCCCCATGACACAGGCCTGAGGGCGGACAGTGAGCAGGCCCCATGCGGATCCCGACTGCCCTGCCGCTGAGAGGAGGCCAGGTCTGCATCTCTCTTCAGGCCAACCGGAGACAGCCCCACCTCAAACTTGAAACAGCCCAGGGACCAAGTTAGAAGGACATTCTCTCAGCAAAGCAAATAAATACCTGCGCCATTGCAGGAGTGGGAACAGTGCTCTGCTCAAACGTCTGACGACTTGACAGTCTAGAGAGATGGCCTGAGAGTCTGGACTGCTAGTAATAAAAATATTTTTAAAGTTATGTAACTGGGTCACCATGGAGTTTTTCCCTTCTTGTAAATATTACATAATTACGAGAAGGAAATACACTTGTTTAAGAGGGGAGGCAGACAAATTGGCTCAAGACACAAATCCTGGAACTGAGGTTGCTACGAGATACCTTCCAGAAGGTAATCTGGGAAGCAGAATCATGAAGAAAGCCTTTAAAAACCGCCTCGTTAGTGGAAGGTTGTTAACCCAAGGTTGCTGTGTCTACGCTCACAGCGAGTCCTGCAGTCTGGGGCTTATTTCAAAATGCCGTCAATAAGACCCATGCAGGCCACATCTCCAGGGTATTGAAAACACTCCCTGGTTGTTTTGGAAACCACAGTCCCCATGGTAAAAATCAACTACATACCTGGTGGGTTTGATTTATTTTTTATTTTGCCTTAAATTTCCAGCCACTGCCACGAAGAAGACACACAGCACCTCGATGCAGTGTCTGGAAAATAGAATCCCCTCTCCTTTTCTTGTTATTTTATTTCAAGATGGGGACACAGAGAGAGAAGACATGGAGAGCTGGCCTGGGAAATTCTGGACAGGTGGCAGCGCTCCATGGACCCCCAGATGCAGTGGGGTCATGCCGGCACGATCAGACATACCTGCGACAGGAGATAGAGAGAAACGGGCAGGCTGATCTTCGGTCTTTCTCCTCCCTAGCGAAGGCCGAGGGGAAAGAGAGAGAGAAGTCCGGGTCACACACGTGAGTGGCACAAGATACATGACGCCAAAGGCTTCTGTCTGAAAGAGAGGCACCCTGTCCCCGGACTTCCTCCATGACCCCAAGGCTGTCCTTTCCTGGTGCTAGTCAAAAGTCCACTCTGCAAAATAAATTCGCAACCAAATCCCGCTCATGCCATCTGCGAGGGCACTATTTCTCCACCTGAGAAATCTTTCACCATTAGTCACGGATTAGAGTCTGGCCCCCGCAGAACCAGCTCCTTAAATTACCGAGAATGTTAATTTCCCCCAGCTGGGGCGCGGAGAGCCGGGCAGGAGAGGCCCCCGGAGGCCTGTTCTCAGGAACAGCTTTCCCGGCAGCCGCCAGGGAGAGGCCGGGGCGCCCTGGCCTCAGAGAAGCCCCTCGTTTGTGCCGAGCTTCAGAGAGCTCCATCTCCCACCAACCCTGTGAGGATCTTGAGGACCCTCATTTCGCTCAGGGAGGTTAACTGCCTTGTCCAAGGTCGCAAAGTGAGGAAAGGCAAGAGGCAGAATTTGCAGCCGGGTCTGAAAACTCCAGTTCCCATGCTTTCTCGCTGCCCCCCAGAGCTGCCTCTGGCAGATTTAGTTAGGGTTGCAATTTTCTTCCACTTACTTATTTTTAGTGATAATCTCCATGCTCCATCTCCAAAAAGAAAGCTCCATCCCCTTGGGACACATCTGCAGAGGCAGAAACCAGCTGGGCTGTCCTGCTTCCTGCCAAGGCCTCTACCCCTTAACCCTGGGAGGGGCTGGGCGAGGGTCTCCCCTCCCCAAAGTGGCAGTTCTCATGGGGGAATCCAAGACCACCAGCTCAGAATCACCTGCGGGCAGGTTAAAGATGCAGATTCCTGGTCGACCCTAGACCCACGGAGCCAGAATCCCGGAGAACAGGGGGAGGGTACCCAAGGATGTGCATGTGAACAGGCACTGTCCCCACAAGGGATCGGAGGCTGCTAACTGCGGACAATCATGGCCCTGGGATCTTTTCCCAAGTGCACTCCGACCCTCCCCGTCCATTCTGTGCACGCTTTGTGGCTGGCTCTTCTCCAAGTCAATTAGTGCTGGCCACTGTCAGAAAAAGTTACCAGGGATGAGAACACCTCAAGAGAAGGATGCGTAGAAACCTAAAACCTAAACCTGCAGAGGTTTACTGTTTCCCTCTGACGTCAGTATTCTCTTCTCGTTCACTCTCACAGTCTACACACACAGTCTCTCCCTGCATCTCTCCCTCTCAGGAAATAAGAGGGAAGGAAAGGAAAACCAGCATGCTTTGAAAGGAATCTCGCTCAGCTTCAAAGCCTTGGTCCCTTGCAGAGCTCAGTCCTATTCAAAGGGCCCACTGTTCCCCCTTCTGAAGACGGCCCGCAGCCACGGGAGCAACGGGGCCAGGCCCCAGGCCCACCTTGTCCTGGTTCTCCAGCGAGTACACGTAGAGCGGCAGGAAGAGCCTGTTGAGCAGGTGGTCGGTGAGCACGTCGTTGAGGAACTCACAGTTGATGATCAGGATGTCATTGAGATAGTGCAGGTGGTCCAGGTGCTCGGCCACCAGGTCACTCAGTTTCCCCCGATTCCGGTGCCTGCCAGGAAAAATGACACCCTCAGCCTGGGAGCCGAGGCTCAGGGCCCTTGGGCCTGGCATCAATGGCCCAGACTTAGGTCACTGGTGCTGCATTCCTACAACCAATATTTGAGCCAGTCTCAGGAGGCACCTATCCTGGCCCGACAGGTGGCATACACAAAAAGAAAATGGACAGGTCCACTGCAGTCGACTTTAGGGGACTCCTGGGGTCCCTCACCCTCTGGGCGTCTCAGTACAGCTCACTCACCAGCACCACCACAGCCAAAAACAAAATGAGTAAATAAAGCAAAAACCAGCTAAGCCCTAGCAAGTCATTTCTCAGGAGCAGCCACTAGTCGCTGTGGCAAGATCCCTGGCTCCCAAGATAAGCGGCATTAATGAAGCAATCAATCCTTGCTAATTAAAATGCTCCAGAGGAGTTCTGAAGAGAAAAGCAGGCCTCAGCAGCCGTGTCTGACCCACGGGCCCCGACCATGGGGCATGGTGCATAGCCGCGACACCCTAGCCCCAGGAGGGCCCTGTCTCCTTGCCTCAATGCAACAGGCATGGGGGCTGGGCCCCACGGGTGGGTCAACCTCACACTCACCAAGGGCAGGACCCCTAAAACAACCCCTAAAATGCCACCCCCAAAGAGGTCTCTTTTGCTAAGAGCAATCTAGCTAGGGCGAGACATCCTGTTTGTATTGTGATTATTACTCAAGTAATAGTCATTTTAGAAGACAGAAAAGTAAAGAAAATAAAAGCAAAAAAAGTTAGTTCCTTTAGTCCCACCGCTAACAGACAGTATTTTGGGACTTCAGACCCGATAGTCTGTTTTTCCATGTTTCTATGTCTCCCTATGGGCGCATCCCAAATGCAGGTGTTACCTATCTACCCATCTAACTATATGAGTCAAAACAGGAGCAATTTTGCTCCTTTTATGTGATTTCCAATAATAATTCCTTATTATACTTTAACAAGATATTTGGTAAATATTTATAGCAAATACATGTGGTAAAGCCTAGTAGGAGGATGAGGACCTATGAACTCACATCCCCCTGAGCCCCAGAACATTACATACGATGTTTCGCAATCTTTTCCCCATTCAATAAGATACTGCGGGAATTTTTCTTTAGTAAGATAGTTAAAGCACTTGACTCTTTAAAGCTTTAGTTTAAAAAATATCTTATCAAAGTAATATAAGCAGATGGGTTTAAAAATTAAATAGTCCTGATAAGCTGGTAGTAAAATCTAGCAGCTCCTGGCCCAGCCGCCCCAGCCCAGCCCACACTCCACAGGAGGCAGTTTTTAACTCTTCTAGTTGCTTCTAGGAAAGCTGCGAGGACCTCTACTTTACAATCGAGCCATTTGGGATATTACGTATCGGCCTCCTGCTATGACAGAGCTCTCTGCATTCGCTCTGCCCCTTCTCCCAAAAGTCACAGCCATTGGTGCTGACACTGTCACAACCACTCAGTGTGGAGCCAAAGAGAGGCCCAAGAGTTCACGGCCTTCCTCGTATAAACTCTTGTTCTTTCTGGAGTTAAGTGCCTCGTCACGTTTCACATCCATGACTGTTCATATCCATACGGTCCCTATTTTCCCAAATGCTCCGTGAGATCTGCCATCTACCCATCCTTGCTTCTTTCCCAATATCGGAGCTAATATTCTCTCTCTCTAGCCCACCTCCCCCTAGGAGACCCCTCTCCCAGGTCCCTTTATCGACCTGACTCCACCTAGGTGTGCCTCTCACCAGGTCTGTGCAAAGCTGTCATTCTGGGGCAGTGGTTCTCAACCGATGGCGATTTTGCCTCAAAGGAGACATCCGGCAACGTCTGGAGATGTCTGTGGTCATTCCCAACTGGAAAAAGGGTCCTACTGGCATCTAGTGGGTGGAGGCCAGGGGTGCTGCTAACACCCTCCAATGCACAGGACAGCCCCCACAGCAAAAGACCACCCAGTTCAAAAGATGGATAGTGCCGAGTGGGAGAAATCCTGCTTTGGAACACTCATCACTCTGGGGCCCAAATCACCATCCTAATCTTTTTTTTTTAAACAGATTTGCTGGGATATAATTCACATATCGTAAAATTCACCCATTTGAAGTATGCAATTTAATGGCTTTTAGTATACTCAGAGTTGTCCGACCGTCATCACAATCAATTTTAGAACAGTTTTACCCCCTGCCACTAAAAAAGCCCTGTCTAGACTCACAGGCAGTTGCTTCCCATTTACCCCGACGAGCTCCCTCCTCCCGCACTAGGAAACCACTAATCCACTCTGTTTCTCTGGATTTGCCTGTTCTGGGCATTTCGTATAGATGGAATGTGGTCCTTTGCATCCGGCTTCTTTCGCTTAGCATTATGATTTCAAGGGTCATCCACGGTGTGGCATGTGTCAGAACTGCATTCCTTTTTACTGCTGAATACTATTCCATGATATGCAGGTACTATACTTTGTCTACCCACTCACGAGCTGACAGTTCATTTTACGCCCAGCACCCCGGCTACGGGTGTACTGAATTTACTCACGCCATCCCTCTCTGGGAGGTATGTGAGTCGTTTCCAACTTTCCGCTGTTACAAACAGCAGACAGGTGGGCGGACCCTTTGCGAGTATGGAAGTCCCTATTCTGCCTAGTCCTGTTCAAGCGTTTATTCTTCCTCGATGAAACGAACTCTCCCGTAACCGCTCTATCTATCCAGGAAGCACCCCCGGAGGTCACTTACTCCTCATCAGTCTGCACACAGTTATCAAGTTCGATCACGTGGCTCCCGATGAACCAGACCAAATTGGAGAAGTAAGGAACAGCAGTTTTATCTCGGATGTAGTGCAGCATGGCCTGGTTATCCACTGAGGAAATTCACAAAAGAAGAGAAAAAAAAGTCAAGCTACCAAAAATAACTTGTGGGAGATTAAAAAAAAACAAAAAACCACAATGAAAAAGCCCTCTACTATAATCTCAATCTTTTCTGTCTTTCCTGGAAATACTTGAAAATGGTTAGCTTATTCATAAAACTATACTCATCAAGGCAGTTCTGATGCCATTTTTGTAATTAATAAATTAATTAATTGGGCTAAACATTAATAGTGCATTAGGAGCCTCCTTATCAGCTGTGTTTAGCTAGACTACAGGAAAACTACACCATTCTCAAGCACGTTTCCTGCATTTACATGTAAGGATAAGTTAAGAAAGCGGAAAACTAGAAGTTAATAACTTACATGACACTGGAATAAGGAACACGGGAATCGTCATGAAGGAAAGGCAAAAACAGACAAGAGTTAACAGGGTGAGGAGCCGGGAAGGTGAGACAGTTGCTCAGAGGGAGAGAGAGCTGGGGCAGGAGGCATCTAAACTGAAAGATACAGGTTAGAGGAGAGCACGAGAAAACAGAGCAGGAGGCAGCAGAATTGCAGCCTGGACCAGGCTGCAAACTCAGAAGCCCGCCAGGCTGGCTGGCAACTCTGCGAGCACAGCCAGCAGGCCTGGTGTGTGCATTGGGGGGGCTCAGGCCTCGGCCCCAAAGAGGGCAGCTGCTTCTCAACGCCTGCTCACCCCTGCCCTGCAGGATTGTGGGCCCAGAATAGTCGAATCTACATTTTCAGGTCAGAAATCCAGATTACTACCCAATCTCTGCCAATTTTTTAAATTTTGGCAACTATACATTTTTTCAAAAAAATATCTAAGCCAATTAAGACACGCCTAAGGGCTGTTTAACACAATCCCGGAACTAGACTCAGTGAGGCCCTGAGGAGCGCCCGCCCCCTCCCAATTAGGGGTCCTCCCAAGTGACAACATGCAAACCAGCGAAGGTCAAAGCCCTTTGGTCCTTGAGAAAATGGAGTCCCAGCTCCAGCGTGATGGACCTGGGGGTAGTAACCGGGCACTAGGCAGAGAAGGCATCGCGCTGGAGGGCAAGGCCAGGTCGGGAACTCGGTCCAGCCAGCCTCTGTGCCAGTGCGGGCAGGGAGCCGGGGACCCAGACGCAATGTTTTGGGCATTAAGCACATCTTGAAAGACCAGAGGCGTCTGTTGGCTTCAGAGCCGGTTGAGAATACAACATTGCCCCCTGCTGTTTGGACGTGAAATGCTTGCACACACGGTTCAAAGAGAACATCGCCCTTGGCCATGTTGAAGCATATTTTTACTGACATTTACAAGACAACTTTGCTTTATCTAATTATCACGTGGCCGCTCCGAGTCCCACATGCGCCTCTCTTAGGACATCACGTACTACCTCTGTGTAGCAGCCCTGAGTAAGACTTTAATGTGTAGAACTGAGGGTGCGCGGAGAAGGCTGCGGTACAAGAATTACGTAAGGGGCCAGCTAAATGTTCACTGATGACAAACCTGCCACAAGACATGCAAGCCCGGACATAATAAATGAGCTCCCTGTTACCTCCGGAGAACTATATGCACAGATCCGTGAGAGCAAGCACGAGCTGTGAAGTTAGAAATCAGATAAGGCGCGAGCTCACGGGGAAACTGACCTTTGTAGACGTTCAAAGTTATGGTTCTTACAGCAATTCTAACCATGCTTTCAGGGTGATTGAAAAATTTGATGGCTTCTGTGTACAGGGCAAAGTCATTAGTGTGCTAAAACAAAAGAAATACCAAAAATGAGTTAGGAATCCGTAAGACAGGCTGCCCCCCACCCCAGTTTTCTGAATCCTACCAGACACTGCAGTAAAGACAAAAAAACAGACAAAATGTTACGCACGTGGACCTCAAGCCAGCAGTCCATTCCCAATGGGGAACGTGGGAAGGGACGGGGAGGTGAGACCATGGAAGAAATGGTAAAGGTCCAGCAATGCCAGCCTGGGGCTCCCGATCTGTTCTGCCACATCCTAGCTGTGTCACGTAATAATTCTAAGCCTCTGCTTCTTCATCTATAAAATGGGGATAATAATTCCCACTTCATGGTTGTTAGAGTTAAATCAGATTATTTCAGATACAGCACTTAGCCCGGTGTCTGATATCTGACAAGCACTCGGTAAATGCAGCTGTTACTGTTAGACGCTGCTTCATCCGATCAAGGGCAAGTGTGAAGTTCACTGCATTCAGACTTTCTTTTGGCTATTATTTACTTCTCTATTTGCAAATACTAAAAGGCTAAACATTATCCTGGAGGAGGAGGGTCTTGGGAATCTCTGACATTTAAAAGGGATCATTGGAACAGACCCAAACAGTTCAGAACTCCACTGTTAGAGCAATAAGAAAAAACACAGGGGCCAGCCCAGTGGCGTGGTGGTGAAGTTTGCACGCTCCACTTTGGAGGTCTGGGAATTGTGAGTTCAGATCCCAGGCATGGACCTACACACCACTCCTCAAGCCATGCTGTGATGGTGTCCCACATACAAAATAGAGGAAGACTGGCATGGATGTTAGCTCAGGGCCAGTCCCCCCCACCGAAAAAAAAGAAAAGAAAAGAAAGAAAGAAAGAAAGAAAGAGAAATGAAAGAGAAAAAAAGCACAACAGGACCTGGGCCTAGAGCCCCACAGTGGTGTGCTCTGCTGCCCTCTTCTGGCCAGTTTTCCCACATGGGTCCAGATCAGGCTCTGAGGACACCCACAGGCAGTGAGGGCAGGGGGAACAGGCAACCAGTAACCTCCAGCAAGGTGACGCCGTCCTCAAAGAACACCACCACCGGGAGCACTAGAAGTCAAATGCCCACTTAACAAGTGGCGGCTACTGTCTGGGCCCGCATAAAAGAGCAAACCAAGCCCACCCCAAAGTGAGGCTCCTGCCACTCCTCTGGCGCCCAGCAAGATGTTCTTCCGGAAGCATCGCTCTGGCCCCAGAATCCCAGCATTCTGCCCTCCCAGCCAGGTGCAGAGAAGCCCAGCTGCCTCTGAGTGGAGGGAGAATCTGGCCGCTCTCTGGCCTGAACTTGGCAGGTGGGTTTTCTCCCACCCGGGAGAGCCTCTGGGAGGGTGCTAACACTGTCCATCTGGTCCCTGGACACGTTTCATGAGCATCAGGTACTGGGCTACACAACGTCAGTTTTTCAAACTGCCACATATTTTGTGATTGGCAGCCAGTATTTTTCCCCTCCAAGACCAGCTCTTCCCCACTACTAACCTAGACCAAAAAAATCAAGGTTCTGGCAGGCCCAGTGGCATAGTGGTTAAGTTTGTGTGCTCCACTTCAGTGGCCTGGGGTTCACAGGTTTGGATCCCAGGTGTGGACCTAGCACCACTCATCAAGCCACGCTGTGGTGGCGTCCCACATAAAAAATAGAGGAGGACTGGCAAAGATGTTAGCTCAGGGCCAATCTTCCACACCAAAAAAGAGGAAGATTGGCAATGGATATTAGCTCAGGGCAAATCTTCCTCACCAAAAAAAAAAATAATAATAATTCAAGGTTCAGCCGCTGTTGCCACATAATATGGGAACAGCTGCATGGATTTTATCCAAAGTCAAAGGCTATGTTTGGAACTATGGTCTGACTTCAAATATAGGGTGTGCAGCACCAGTCAGAAGACACCTTGACAGAAACAGCACACGGCCGTGTGGTCGCTGGCTTCTGAGATGGCCTGGTGATCATCACCTCCTGTATTCACACACCGTGCCGTCCTGTCCCACACTGAATCAGGCCTGGCCAATGTGGCCTAAAGAACATGGGGGAAGTGATAGTGTGTGGCTTCTGAGGCTGGGTCATGAAAGGCATTACCGCTTGCCTGGGTCTCCTGGATCAATCGTTCTAGGGGATGCCAGCCACCAAGCCATGAGGACACTCACACAGGCCCCGGAGAAGCCTAGGTAACCGAGGCCTCCGGCCAATGGCCAGCACTGACTGCTCGGTCAGCCATGTGAGGGATCCACCCTAGAAGCAGACCTTCCAACCCCAATCCAGCCTTCAGATGACTGTAGCCTCATGAGAGTCTGAGCCAGGCCACTCCCAAGTCCCAGACACACTGTGCTGCAATAAATGTGACACAGCGTGACCCCTAAGACACAAGAGGAAGTCTGCAGGGAGGCTTCTGGGAAAGAAGAGTTTTTTGGAAATTACAAAGGTACACAAGAAAGAAAGTGACCTCAATAGGCTTTTTGGCAGTGGCATGTGAGTATGTGATGTCTGGAGCTGATGCAACCATTATGAGACCATGAGGGGTCAAGCCAGGGGACAGCTGCTAACTATGGTCAGTAGAGCAGAAAAATGGAAAAGCCTGGGTCCGTGATGAGCCACAGGACGAACTGGCCCCAGGAGAGCTGGCAGCTGTACCTTGTGGTATGTGAGATAAATTTACCTTATTGTTCAAGCTCCTTTTAACTGTGAGAATAACAGCAATTTATTTATTTAAGTTGCTAGTAATTCTCCCAAGGCATACCAGGGCCGTTAGCCTGTAAGGAAGAGCAACGGCTACGATTTTAGGGAGCCAAATACACACTAGGTGCTTTGAGAACATCATCCCCTTTAATTCAATCCCTGGAAAACGCTACAAGGTATGCATGATCATCGCCATTTCTCAGATGGGGAAACTGAGGCTCAGAGGACTGGGACCCCTCTCAGGTCCCACAGCAGGGAGGCAGCAAAGCTGGGTCTGACCGGAGTTTGTCTTTCCCACAGGGCAACACGACCCCAGGTCAATTTCTGGGCACCTCCCCTCTCTGCCAAGGACAATGCTCTCAGGTAGCACAATGGAATTTCACATTAAAAATAGAGAGGTAACTTATTAAATTAAAAAAATCCTTTCTAAGCGCACCAAGGTCAAACGGCTGCTATGAAAATCAGGAAGGAGCAGGCGTGTGAGTGCTTTGTCAACAGACACAAGGCCGCCGGCACGGAAGGCGCTGCTCTGGCGGGCGAGCTTCCCACTCAAACGCGCCCTCCGGCGGTCACTCACCTCGTTGTAAAAGAAATGGACAGTGTGGTTGTTGAGTTTCAGCGAAAGGGTTTTCAGGAACGATATATAATAGGCCATGATCTCCTCGTCGGAAAAGTCAAACTTATGGACAATGATAGAATTTACATAGTTATTAGAGAGCAAGTAATCTAGAGGGAGAAAAAACAAAGGAAAACAGGTTAATTCATGCTGGAGGAGAGACCGCGGAGATAGCCAGGTAAGGAGCAGGCGACCACGTGGACGGACCAGAACCAGTCAAGCTGCTGGGTAGCTGGGGTTCAACAAGCTAACACGGAGCCCCTTGACCTTTAACCAGCAAAGAGATCAGCCGCTAGGCGCAGCCACTAGAAAGTTCGAGAGCAATGCCAGAGCAAAGCCCAGACCACCCGTCCCACACCAGACAGAAAACAACCCTTGAACATGCTCTTTCATTGCTGGAAAGTTCAGCACAGAGCTGGGGGCAGGGCAGCTGAGTTGGTGCGTGGGCAGTTTCACAAACCACCCACGGATGAGGGTAAAAAGTGCTCTACTTTAAAAAACCTGCCCCATTTTGCCATCAAAAGTCACCCCGTCATCCCTGGATGCCACAAAGGGCTACACATGGTTTTCTTCTCCCTATATAGCAACCTGATTTCATAAAAGCCACTTGCGGCTGAACCTCCACTACATGCCAGCACCAGGCAGAGTGATTTCCACTATAATTAATCATTAAGACAACACTGCAGAGCAGGGCTCATTCTTCTCATTTTGCGGATGAGTAAAAAGAGCTCAGAGAGGTTGATTAATTTGCCTGAGGACACAGCAACAGTAAGTCACAGAGACGGGATTCGAACTCAGGTCTGATGTCAAAGCCTGTGCACTCATGGGAGCCAGCAATGAAAAGCGGGTGATGAGGGCCCGGGCACACTGGGGCCAACTGGAGAACGGGCACCCTCTCCAAGCCCCCAGCCTCTGGCCCCTGCAGAAATGCAGCCCCAGCATGGTGAGAGCTTCCGACGGCAAGGGAAGCTGGCAAACACAGATGTTGACGCTGCATCTCCTGATTTTGAAATGCTGGCCGCTAGATCAACTCGCTCTATAGACCAACTGCAGCCCCTGGGCCTGCAGTTCGAAATCTTGGCATCGGGCCCTTGCCCAACAGATATGTTCTCTGAGTCCTGACCAGCCAGCCTGTCCCCACTGTCTGTCCTTTGGGTGGCCAGTCTAGGAGCTCTGACCACTGCCCTGCCTCCCCACTAAGGGTCAAAGGCAGCCCACGATCAACAGCCGCCCTACAGGCAGCTATGGAAGGCAGCAGAGCTGAGCAGTTCGGAGCCTCCTTACTCAAAGTCTGGTCCTCGGACCGGCAACACAGCCTCACCTGGAGCTTGTCAGACGTGTGCCTTCTTGGACCCCAGCCCTGACAGCTATGAGCGGGCAGGCCCAGCACTCTGTTACGAGGCCCCACAGGGCCTTCCATCACGCTCTTGTTTGAGAGGCACTGGGTTCGAACGTGGACTTGGATCCACCTGCCTCTGCCACTTCCTAGCTGGGTGACCTGGGCAAGCGGCCTACCCTCCCCACTCCCCATTTTCCCCGTCTGAAAACCAGAACGACGGTACCCTCCTCATGGGTGTTGTGAGGGGTATAACAGACAATGCACAAAAAGCACCAGGGACAGTGAGGGGCACAAAGTAAGCCCTCAAAGATGTCAGCTGCCGTTCTTCTTACCATCATCTGGGGATCCCAAATCCCCACCATCATATTCCCAGGACTGAACACAGTTGCTCACGGGTGAATCGGAAATAAACCATTAAGCTATTTGGTGCCAAAGTTATTAGGCCAAAGTATTACTGAAAAGGCTGGAATCACCAGAAACAACATGAAGAGCCAACCAGAAGCATAGGGCCATGAGAGGGGCCACAGTGTGGGGCCACAGCCGGGTCCCCCCGCCGAGGCCAGCTCTGCGGGAAAGCCACTGTGTTCGGGAAAGCCACTGCGTTCAAAAAAGCGCCCTGAGTGTCCTCGGAGCAGCCTTTGCAGACAGGACGTGAGGGTTGCAGTCTAAGAATGATTCTCAAAACCTCCTAATCATAACAATTCCTGAAGCAGAGGTTGGAGCCCCTCCAACAGAGGCGGCAGCGGGTCTGGGGTGGGTTCTAAGAATCCTAACGCGTTTACAAACGAGGTTACACATATCACAGGGCCGAGGCGCACAGCTTGACCAAGGTGGAAACGTACACACGTGTGAATCTTAAGTACACATGCCTCTGTACTTCTACACACATATATACACCTCTCACAAATCTTAGGTGTCAGCTTGATGAATTTCTGCAAACACACACACTGTGCAAGCCCACCCAGATCAGGGTGCACTCCCAGTTCCCCAGAAGGCTCCCTCTGCCCCACCCAGTGGTGACCCCCCAGAGGCAACCCCTGGTCTGACTTCTGTCACTGCAGACTTGTCCTGCCTGTTCTGCAAGCTCATAGGCTTGGAGTCAGACAGCACGCTCTCCTCTTGTGTCTGGCGTCTCGCACACCTCACAAGCTGAGTTATCCATGTGGTTCCCTCCTTTTTCCTCTGTGCTGTATAGTATTCCATGCTTTGAAGCGCCCACAATTGATCCGGCCAGAATCTGAACTTGCGACAAGCAGCCGGGTGATGCAGATGCCCTCCTTTAGGTGCTGGCACCGTGGCTGTGGTTGGGACGAATGGGCTGGCAGCAGCAGGGACTGCTGGGATGTCCCATGAGCCCCACTGTGACTGGTTAGTGGCTTCCGGGCCACCAGGGGCACAGACGCCCATGCTGGCAGCTTCAGACGGGTACCTATGAGCCTCTCGGCCGCATTCTTGAGCTGGAAAAGCCACATGCTCCAAGCATTCCCCGGTGGGGACTTTTCCAGGGCCTCCGCTGATGACTCTGTGGGTGGCGGGGCCACCGTGGGGGCAGCAGAGGTGCCTCTATTATTGGGCTGGGATTTTTCGGCTACCCCCTCACTGGGCGGCCGACTTTCTGTGGTATCCTTTTATAATAAACCCAGGAGTCTGTAAGTAATCTCAGTCTCTCGGGCCTTCTGTCACTTAGGTCACAAAACTCAACAGGCAACAGGTGCACGGTGAAATGGCTGCTTGTAATAGTGAAAACCCGGAAACCCCCTAAATGCCCATGGTCAGGTTGAAGAAGTTATGGCCGAGCGAGACGCACTCCTCAAGCAATCCACGGATGCCTGAACGTGAAAAGCTCCGAGCCACTGCGAGGCTGGGAGAGAACGAAGCCCACAGCAAAACGGCTTGCATCCCCGGAACCATTAGTGTGAGACTGCACAGAACTTTTGCTTTCTCTACTTTTGCAATCTTCCATTTTTTGCTGTTGTTTTATAATGAGGACATTTTGTGTCTACAATTAGAAAATAAAAATAAAAGCAAAACTCATCCATGGTTGTCACCCCCCATAAATCCAGCTTCTGAAAAGGCAGTGATTTCTGCCACATTCGCAGGGCTTACAAAGCGCTCGGGTGGATTCCCACAGAGCCGGTGGCAGCTGCCTGGGTTTCTTGCAGCCGGTGCCCTTTTCAGTCATGGTACAAGAAAAGCCATGTGATCCAGAAACCCCCAGAATGTTTAACTGTCCCCACCCCCATCTTCAGACCAGCAGCCCTGTGGCCAGATCGGCTCAGAAAGGGTTACCAGAGGACAGACTGTGGGGCCATCTCTGGATTTAATGACAAAAACAACTCTGCTGGACGCTTCCATCAGCCAGACCCTGCACACCTGCTGTCACATTTAATCCTCAAACCACTCTATTCTCTAATTCACAGATTCGGAAACCGCAGCTTGGAGAGTTCGCTCCCCAGGGCCCGCGTGCACAGCGCGTGGCCGAACCAGGCCTGGGCCCCGAGCCCTGGGTCCAGGGCCTGCACCACTGAGCTGGGTCTTCCCCTCTCGGAGTTCTCAGAAACCGTGTGCAATTCATATCCAGCGTAGCAAACGCTGATACCAAGGGAAACCACTCAGGGAGAGTGAGTCAACTCACAGTTGTCACCTCAGATTCATCGGGAAGCGCAAGGAGCGTCCTGGGCCGGCAGCACCACCTGGTGGCCGCTTCCGAGAGCCACCATTCAGCCACTCTCCCACCGCGCCCTCCTCCTCCCAGCGTCTCTACCCACTTCCACTCACCAGAAACTTCTCTCAAACCTGCCTTGGGGCCCTAGAGCCTGCCTTTGACACAGACAGCCGGTCACTTGTCTTCTCCTCCCTACTTTCTGCGGGCCGGGCCTGGGGCTTGGTGTAGTCATCCTGGAATGATAAAGCCGTGGTCCAGCGCGGGGGATGAGGAAGGGGACCGGCTGTCTCCCCTGCGCACTGCTGGCACTCGGGGCTGATAACCCTTTGCTGTGCGGCTGTCCTGTGCACTGCAGATGTACAGCAGCATCCCCCGCCTCACCCGCCCGAGGCCAGGAGCAACACCCCCATCACTACCACAACCAAGAATGTCTCCAGACACTGACCAACGTCCGCTGGGGCACAGTCACCCCGGCTGAGGGCCACTGAGCCACCTCACCCAAGCTGAGCCCTTGTCAACGCGGGCCTTGCTGGAGCCATCACTGGGCGGTGACTCAGACTCTCGCGAGGACACCGACAGCCCCTGCCTCTCAGGGTGGCTGTCTCAGACGAAGAGCCTGGGCTTAGTGAGGGCGGGGAACAAGCTCCAGGGCACACACTCGCCAGGCGGCCAGCGGGACAGCAGCAGGCCGGCCAGGTGCCAGAGGCCACGCGCCTGCACGCTCTTGGGCCGAGTTCTTCCTCTCCGGCTGGTCCAGTGTCTACTCGCTGGCTGATTACTCAGTGACCCCAACTCTTTAATAACAAATTTGAAGAAGAAACGCGAACGCCCCCAGAATCACTCAGCACAGGAAGCCCTCTCCGCACCCTTCACAGCAGCCCACCACGCAGGGATAAACCTCGGGTTACAGACGAACTGCCCTCAAATTCCTACGTCGCAGCCCTAACCGGCCCCCTCCCCTCACCCCCACCCCCACCCCCGTGACTGTATTTGGAGGCAAGGCCTTTAAGGAGGTAATTAAGGTTAAAAGAGGTCACAGGGTGGGGCCCTAATCCCATACGACTGGCATCCTTACAAGAAAAGGCAGAGACACCAGCACTCTCTGTGTGCAGAGGAAAGACCACGCGAGGACACGAGGAGAAGGCAGCCACGGCAAACCAGAAACCAACCCTGCTGGCACCTTGATCTTGGACTTCCAGCCTCCAGAAAATAAATTCCTGTTGTCTATGCCACCCAGCCTGGGGTCCTTTGTCGCGGCAGCCCAAGCACACTGAGACACACGGTAAGCACAGCCATTCGAAAAACAACACGAAAACCAGGCCCAACCACACGCTGCCGACGCTCAGCGGTGCAGAGGCAGGCGTCGAGGATGGTCCTTACAGAGTGAGGTCTCGTGACTGATGTTCTCAAAGAGGATGTTCAAGGTCTGCAGCAGCTGCACACACACGTAGCGGCCGGATTTCTGCCGCAGGATGTTCAAGAAGAAAACAAACATGTTCTTCTCCAGGAAGAAGCTGGGGAGAGAAGGGGGAGATCAGTGGTCTGCTTCCACACGCGGTTACATGCACCCTCTGGTTATATGCACGGCACATGTGTGTACCCCCCCCCCACACACACACAGGTTACATGCACCCTCTGGTTATATGCACGGCACATGTGTGTACCCCCCCCCACACACACACACAGGTTACATGCATCCTCTGGTTATATGCATGGCACATGTGTGTACCCCCCCCACACACACACACACACAGGCATCCACAGAGCAGCGAGGTCATGCCACCTGCACGGCCCCAGCTTCCGTGCTAGAAAGCTCCCACAATCCCGTCTTCCATCAAGGTAACGCTCCTTTCAAGTCCTCTTCCCAGAATCTGAGAAGAGAGCTGGTTCTGGGAAGCAGTGAACTAGATATGACAGAATGGGAAAGATCTTTTCCTACTAAACGATTACACGGCAATCCACGCGCATAAAGCCGACAAGCAGCATTTTCCATCAAATATTTTATATCCTTCTCTTTTTCCTTACTAAGCCTCTTTTCTTTGCTCTCCATATCTTTGAGTGTTAATCAACCACAACTATAATTCCCTACAAAGGGGCAAGAGAACACTGAATTCAGGGGCCGGCCCCTCGGCCGAGTGGTTGAGTGGGCACGCTCCGCTTTGGCGGCCCAGGGTTTCCCGGTTCAGATCCCAGGTGTGGACATGGCACCGCTCATCAAGCCATGCTGAGGCAGCATCTCACACAGCACAACCAGAGGCATTCACAACTAGAATATACAACTATGTGCTGGGGGGTTTTGGGGAGAAGAAGGAGAGGAAAAAAAGTGCCATAGAAGTTAAAAAAAAAAAAAAAAAAAGAACACTGAATTCAAAAGAGTTTTGGTTTCCAAATCGCCAAGTTTGTAGTTTCCATATCTCGGGGAAAAGAACTGGAAGGAAATCGAAGGTGCTGACGTGGCGGTGAGACCCTAGGCGGTCCCCACATCTGCTTCTGCCTTTCTTGTTCTGGACAGGACCTCTGTCTGCATACAGCCTGGGGGCACTGACTTTTGGGGGTACAGGGTGGCTCTTTTAGTCTTGAAAAGGAGACAAAATGCCCTAATGCCCCTCTTGAAAGGAAGAAAGCGATGCTTCTAGTTCTCTGCATTCAAGCTCAGAACTGACAGCCTCTCATTTGGGGTAGTGAGAAAAAACCCCTGCAGTCATGGGCATCTGCTGGTTGACCTAAGTTTTGGATGTCTCTCTCCCCTCAGCTGTCAGCTCAATGGTGGCTGGATCATGGGAACACAAATTCTGTCTGAATCCACAAAAGGGTAAGTGAATGAATAAACGAGCTAAAAAAAGACCCCTAGAGCCTTTTCCAACTCTGATTCTGGGAGTCATTCCCACTGCCCTCCAGAACATTTTTATCATTTGACCTATTTTGTTTACCTTGTCTACCAAGTATCCCCCAACAAGCTCACTGCAGCACGATGCCCAAGTCGGGAACTCGTTAAGATGCCCGCACCTAGACCACGCCCAGGGAGCCACTCCCCAGGTCAAGCAAGCAGTCCAAGAGCCTGGATTTTTAAAAACTCCCTAGGGAAGTTTTCCTTGGAAAAATGACTAATTATAGGGCTGGGGCAGGAAAATATAAGATGAGCCTGGAGCATCTTATAGTACCAGAAAGTCAGGGGGTGCTCGAAAACAAAGGATGGGGTGTGTCAAAGCGACACAGGAAGCAACCCGAAAGAGCTCCCAATGCCCAAAGCTGGAATAAACTGAGCGATAACGCAAATAACACAGTGCAGGATTCTAAACCGAGGTTTAAATAAATACCCAGGAGTCCACACTGACATAAATAGATGACTGAATAAGTAATAAACGGAGAGGAGAGACAGATCTTCCACATAGAAGAATTTCAAAGAATCTATGTAGATAGTCCCTCCTTCCAGAAGGCAGAGCTGAGTTCCCACACCCCCAGGTGGGCTAGACTTAGTGACTCACCTTCCAAGAACAGGGGAGAGAAAGGGGAAAAACGTAACTTTATGGTAGAAAAACCTGGCAGCCACCACCTTACCCAAGCGATCAGGTTCACATCCCCAGGGATCACGGGGACATGGGAACACAGGTGCGATGGGACGAGAAGGGCACTTCACCTCCACAGCCTTCTTTCCAGAACCCCCAGGCTAGCCATGAGGAAAACACCAGAGAAAGCCAGACTGGGGGACGTTCTACGGCACAGCTGGCCAGTACTTCTCAAAACTTCAAGGTCAGGAAAAACAAGAGAAGACTAAAAAACTGTCACAGACCAGAGGAGACTGGGGAGACGTGACAACTCAATGCACCGTGGGAGCCTGGACTGGGATCCTAGGGCAGGAAGAGGATATTAATGGAAAAGCTGGTGAAATCCCAATCAAGCCTGGAGTTTACTTGATAGTAACTCACCAGCGTCGGCTTCTCAGTTTTGACAAATGCATCTTGGTCACATGAGATATTAACAATGGGGGGAGCGGGGTGAGGGGTATATGGGGCCTCTCTGTACTATCTCCACAACTTTCCTGTAAATCTAAAATTATTCTGAAATAAGAAATGTATTAAAAACAAATTCTCTTGGGGACTCTGCTGGGCAGCCACTTAAGAATCACTGGGGGGCCGGCCCCATGACTGAATGAATGGTTAAGTTCACATGCTCTGCTTCGGCGGCCCAGGGTTCGCCAGTTCAGATCCTGGGCGTGGACCTACACACTGCTCATCAAGCCATGCTGAGGTGGCATCCCACATAGAAGAACTAGAATGACTTACAACTAGGATATACAACTATGTACTGGGGCTTTGGGGAGAAAAGAAACAAAAACAAAGAGGAAGATTGGCAACAAATGTTAGTTCAGGGCCAATCTTCCCCACCAAAAAAAGAAAAAGAAGAAGAAGAAGGCATAGAGTTGCAAATAGGACTTAAAAACAAAGAATCAGTGGGGCTCCAAGAGCTCAGCAGTTTTTCTAAGATGGCAGATGGACTAAGAAAGTCCATTCTAGTAAAGGGGGACACAGTTTCTAATCTTCAACCCAAGGGTCTTTCTCATTTCCAAAAACAGATACCAACCAACCAATCAACTAACACCTTTCCCATGATCCTGAAAGGAAGCTCGCCCCGTTTATAAGCAACACCTCACTTGATTACGATGTTTTCCTCTGCAGGTCATGGCCAGTGTCACAGGTTGCATTTTAAAGATCTGCACTTTCCACAAGTAGCTTTATCTTAGAGGACCTTACTGACGAACACAGAGCTATCCGGAGACTCAGGACATCTAATGAGAAGCCATGTTGGAAACGGAACACCTTTATTTGTTTGAAATGGGTTTTTAAGTGGCCTCAATACTTAAAATTGAGATTATTTTATATAAAAATGAAATCTGGTTTGGTGGCTATGACAGCCCAACCCTTCGCACGCAGGCGCTAAGACGGGTCTACCGGAGGAGCTCACGGCTGGCGGCCCTTGCTCTGTAACCGTCCAACAGGGACACCTTTTAAATGACCATTTGCTAGCACTCCTTGAGTGCATACCCTGCACCAGGTACGAGGCAGGGGACTTCCTCTCCTTTAAAGATGAGGAAACCGAGGCTGGCCTAAGACTGCTCATCTGGGGAGGACGAGGACGAGGAGAAACACTGTCATGGGCTCCGAGTGCGACCCTCTGTGACCCTGGGCAAAGATGGGGACAAGAGCAGGGCCCCGCCCTGCGGCAGCTGGGAGACGGAGATGGATTTTCTTGTCGAGGGCTCAGCACGGTGCCTGACCACCGGGAAACACAACACCTGTCAGCCCTCAGTGTCTCCCCGGGGGCCTTTCAGGCCACTTAGAATCTAATGACCCAGGACACGGTCTCCTTCCTTTGGGGAGAGAATCAGACAAGACTTGGAAAATTATCCATGATGTTTTCACATTTTCTGAAGATACTCATTTCCATAACTTCCCCGTTTTCAGCTTGCATTTCTACAGTGTTTCAAGGACATTTTATACAGATAGATATCTGTGCAGAAGACCAAATTGGCGTCAAATCCTGACATCATGAGGGATGACTCATGATACACATTTAGAAAAATATCCAAAGGAAGGAGAAGAAGCGAAAAACAAAAAAACATTAGAAACCCTTACTCAAACACAGAGCTGTCATTCTGATCTCCCCAAATCAGGATCTCGGTGATGGAGCGGATGGTTTCCACTAGCAGGTTCCGATTCTGTTCTGTGACTGTGGTGTTTTTGGTCAAAACGTGGTACAGATACCTGAGAGAAAGGAAAGAAAATTAAAGATCACCAACTGCAACGTAAGCCAGACTCAACGACCATTCGCAACATCTGGGGGACAATTTGGCTGTGTTTTTCCAGGTTTGGTTAGCACAATTCCCGTGCAGATGAGTCATCATACCACCCAAGAAAGATGGCAGACGATGCTTTGAATGTTCAATAACCAGGGACACGCCAACCCAAACTGAGGCGAGAGAAGTGTCGAGCTCTTGAAGACAGCCATCCTCAAACTCCAGAGGGCAAGAGCATCGCCTGGAGAGCTGGATGAAGTGGGGGCTGCGGGAGCCCACCCCGAGATTCAGATTCAGTGGCACTGAGGGAAGACCAGGCACGGGCCTTTCACACTCTCCCCGGGTGATTCTGGTGCCAGTGGAGCAACTCGAGACACACAGCTCAGGGCCAAATGCCTAAACGGGACCAGCAGCCAGGCTGATGCAGAGATTCAGAGAGGTAAAGTTGCAGATGAAGGAGACTGAGCCCCAAAGCCAGCAGCTGGGGCAAAAATCACGTGCAGGCAAGATTACCCTTGGAATGCCCATACCCTTGGAATGCCCATCATCCCCCAGGAAGGGCAGAACACCCAGCAGAACTGATGGCTCAAATGAAGGGGGTGGCTTGCCATTCAAGGGCACCAACTGTATTTGCTGAGTACAGATCACAGTTAAGTGGGCTTGCGACACCATGGCACTGAACTTCGCCCACCTAGATGTGCCCGCAAGGCCTGTGCTGCTCCAGACCTGGGCCAGCTGCTGTGGCAGAGACAGGTCGGCCCAGTCCAGTCCTCGAGGCCCTGTGCTGGTGGTGAGGGCATCCAAAAGAGTCGCCGAGGCCAGTCCTGAGCCGTGTGGGGACCAGCAGCCTGGCCGGATGCTCTGGAAGTGCCGCCTGGCACAGCTTTTAACAGATAGTGTCTCCAGGGCCCAGAGATTGAGGTAACTCAGCTGAAATGGCGTGGAAAGGAAAAGGGGACACCAAGAGGGAGTGACTCAGGAAAAGTCACCTCCTGACTTCTTTATGGCCACCCTCCGTTTGAGGGTAGGGGCTGGTGAGAGCAAGGCAGGGAAAGATTAGATAGGATCGTTCCACCGAAAATCTCTAAAAATGGGTAGGCGAGAAAGAGAGAGAACCTTGCAGAATGAATAATAAGGAGCAATCTGCTGGTTTAGGGGGCTGAGTTTTATTTATTAATATTGTTGCTGTTTGTTTTATTTTAAAGACACAGTCTAATCAGTCATTCAACTATTTAATAAATGTAATTAAGTAAAATTGCATGCCACTTTTAACATGCAATAACTAGAAGAGCTCTCCAAAAATAGAAGTCTCCACCGTCTGTGCCCAAATCTACTAGCAGGGCTGCACGTGGAGCAGAGGCCAGTTTCGCTCTGTGATAAGGTGGGTCCACAGCACCAAACCACCCTGGGGTGGATGACAGGGGGCCCCGATCACGAATCCGTCTCCACCTCACCTGGACTGCATCTTCTCTAAAAGACCCAAAGAGCAGAGTTTTCATACCGTGGCTCCCAGGCCCCCTGCACCAGAATGGCCTGATTGAACTGCAGATCCTAGCTCGCCATCCCAGACCCACGGAAACTGACTCTTGAGGGCAGGGCACCCCCACGGAACCTGACTCCTGAGGGCACTGCCCCAAATCTGCATTTTGAACGAGCTCCCCCTGAAGTTTCAGAGCTACTGTGTCACCCACATCGTGGCCATCAGTGACGCTCTCCGTGCTGTCCACAGTACGCCGCATGGCCTGCTGTGACGGGCACTGCAGGCAGAACTCCCACTCAGGCGGCTCCTTCTGTGTAGAGGATACGTCCGTCAGCATCCCACATCACACTCCTGGCCCAGCAGGAGACAGCGGCCTGGGGGAGTGGGTCTGCTGGGGGACTCCCAGCAGGGATGGGGGAGTTTAAAACCTTGAGGACCAGCCCTGACTTCTAGTCACTGTGCTTTCTTGCTGCCCTGACCAACCAGCAAACTCATACTCGTATGTCACAACCCAGCTCAGGCATCTTCCTCAGAGGATGGATCCCTCCCGCCCTCCTGCCCGGGGGGATCTGACTGTGCTCTTCTCTCTGGCACCTCTGTGCCCACATCCACTTGCTGCTGCATGGACCACCCTGATCTGCCATGATCTGCCTCCCTTATGACCTGAGTTCCTCAAGGTCAGGAGTATCGTCTTGTTGATCTTGGTGACCCCAATATACTCCAAACTGTCTGGTACACAGTAGGTGCTCCATAAAAGCTGATGGGGCGAGGGTGGGGGACAATCTTTATGAACATAAATACATAAATTAGATCAGAGCACACAAGACTGAACACAGTCAGGGTCCAAATGCCAAACACAGCAAGTGGTGGCACAGCGCGGAAGTGAAGAGTCCAGGCTTTGGCAGTCCAACAGACAGACCTGGGCTTGAGTCCTGGCCCTGCCACTTCCTAACTGTGGCCTCGGACAAGGCTCTTCACCTCTCTGGAGCTCAGCTTCTCTAACAGTCAAGGCCTCCTCCTGGGCTGTCCCGGGGATTTGATGTGATAACGCATAGTAAGTGCCAAGCATGGTACCTGGCACACAGTAAGCGCTCAGTAGATGTAGGGTTAGCTGCTACTACTATTAGGATATTGGGGCCGTTATTAACACCACTACTAAATTATACAAGGCACACTGCAGGAACGTAGGAAGGAAAGATCAGGCTGATCCACACCATCATGAACAGAGGACTCCAAGGCAGGAGTTATGGGAAGGGACAGAGAAAGCAGAGCAGGAAGTGGGAGCTTTGGTGTTAGCTGGGTGATCTGGAGCAGGTTACTTAATCTCTGTGCACCTCAGTTATCTCACCTGTGAAACCGGAGCAGCGATACTTAGGTACTCCCACAAATACTTTAGGACCTACCTATTATGGTGTCGTTAGGAGGAATAAACAAGTAAAAAGAGAGGTAACTAACCTGGCAGTTACTATGCACGATACAAGTGCTGGCTATTGTTGCTCCTCTCATCACTGCCTTCATTAAACAATCTCTGAAAAAAATGCCAGTAACCACGAGGAGGCCCTGACAGACAAACCCAGGGGAAAGGGCAAGGCAGCAAGTCCTGAAGAGAAGATTCTAGGAGCTGCCATGTGTGGTACAAGACTATGTGCCTGCCTCTGTGTGAGGGGCTTCACCTGACCCTCACACATGCAGTCACCTGGGGACAGTGGCCAGGAGAGCAACCGAGAGATGCGCAGTCACTGGCCCACAGCCAAGCGGCTGGAAGGTGCCGTCTGAGAGCCCCAGCCGTCTCCTGGCCTCTCGGACACTCGTGGTCCGCTGCCTTTGTCAGTGGAGCCATTCTGTTGGGTGGATGGTGATGTTGAGTTGGGCTTCTACCTCATGGTGACAAACGACTTAGAGTGCCTTTTCAGGTTTATAGCCATCTGAGTATCTTCCTTTGCGAGGTGCCTGTGCAAAGTCTTTTGCCATTTTTTACTAGGTAGAGGACCTTTTTCTCATTTATTTGATGGAGTCCTTTATATACCCTGAACACAAATCCTCTATTGGATGTACATATGGCAAATACTTTCTCTGGATGTGGCTTCCCTCTCCACTCTGTTTAGAGTGGTCTCTGGATGAGCAGAAGTTCTTAATCTTAACATCACCCAATTTATCAGCCTTTCCCTTGGATAGCGTTTTTTCTATCAGGCTTAAGAAATCCTTACCTACCCCAAGGTCATGAAGAAACGCTGTTTTCTTCTAAACAAGTTACGGTTTTACCTTTCACATTTTGACTCAGAGTATGTCTAGAACTGATGTTTGTGTTTGGTGTGAGGTATTGGCCAAAACTCATTTTTCCCATAAGAATATCTAGTTGACTCACCATCATTTACTGGAAAGGGCCTCATTTCTCCATTGCACTGCAATGTCCCTTTGTCATTGATCAGGTGACTACACGTGTGGAGTTCTTTCTGGATGCTCTACTCCCAGAGGTCTATTTTGTTTACCTTCATGCCAATACCATTGATTACTGCAGCTTTATAATAAATCTTGCTATGTGATCATCTAAGTCCTCCAACTTCTTTCCTTCTGTTGTTTCATCATTATATTGGCTATTCTGGGCCATTTGCATTTCCATATTAATTTAAAAATCACTTTCTCAATTTCCACAAAAATACCTGCTACCACTTCAAGACCCACCTAAATCAACAGCTAAACACGGAGAGAACGGACATCTTTACAATAGAGGAACATCATGCCACCCACATTTCTTTCAAAGTTTGCTGGATAGGGGTCTTGCACATCTTTTGTTAGACTTATCCCCAGGTATTTGGTGTTTGTTGATGCTGTTGTAAACGGTCGTGTTTGAAATGTTCATTTTCTAAATGCGTGTTGTTGGGAGGTGCAAACACTCCCCAGATCTCAAGCTGTACATTTCTATGACGATTACACCTGCACCCTGCTCCTCTTTTCACCCCCACAATGCCCTAGCACATGGTGTTAGGAAGAGACCCTCAATATACTTATAGGGACTGGGAAAAAAGAAAGCTAAATAGATTAAGGTTTCATATTTTAATGCTGCATCTAATCCCAGAGCTTTGGAAGATCAAGAAATCAACTACCTCAGAGATACTAACATAGTTTAATAACTTTCTGATTTTAACTGTAACACTCATTTTGGAAAGGCCAGAAACTTCAACAATAACAAAAACAGAGAAACGGCAATTGCCAATCACGCCACTGTGTAGAGATGACCACTGCTGGAGCGGCAATGTACTTCCTTGTGTCTTTCTCTTTGCTGTGGATATTTACATAGTTGAGTTCATGTTGTATGCCCATTTCCACGCCCAACTTTTTTCTCCGCCTCTGACTAAAATAAGAGCATCTGTGTTACTGACAACTGTTTGCAAGCATCTGGAATGGCCACATAGTGCACCGCGGAAAGGACAAGTATACTGCGGAAAGGACAAGCACCAGCCATTCCTCTTCTGCTGGGCACCAGGATT